AAGCCTAATCCTTTAACCGCAGGTACCACTGCAGGACAACAGCAGCTCAGCATAGCACCAGTGATTTCTAGTAGCATTCAGTGCCTTCTCCTTCTCTTCATCACCTGGATGATGAAGAACCATTCCAGGTCACCAGAAGTTCGTTTCCATGCATCACCACAGACATATATTCACTACCAAGCTGCAACCAATTTGAAATAATGAGCTACAGGTCATGGTCTTCATGTTTTACTCTGTTATTGATTCCTTGGGCTTTTCCCTCCCCTTTTTTCCCTGGAGAATTGGTTTCATTTCTGTATATATGGATTCTGTAGCCTTCTTCAGTAGGTGGGGAGAGAATTGCTGTTCTCCCCCATGTTTGTGAGGATGGACCTCATTAAGCATATTCCTTCTTTATTTTTAGCTTTCCATCAGGCAAACAGCAAAAAACCACAAAGCTTGTTTATAGCCATGGACAGTTCCCCATGTCAATTGCTGCTCCATGGTCTGAATTGTTATGAAAAAGATAACCTTTTAGCTCTCCAGCCCTTCCCACATATAACAGCTCCTGCTCCATCCAAAGCAAATTTTTTCCTATCATGGATTAACTAAAGATTTTTGATGGATAAATCTCTACAAAGGGCTATGGAGGGCTGGAAGTGGAGAAGAAGCATTATGAAATACAAGAATGGATTAAACAGAGGGTGAAGTTGTTAAAAAACACCTCTAAATTATGTGATCAGTGACCTGGGCTCAAACTGTTTGTGTCCTTCCTCTCTTGCAATCCTGCTGCTGCTGTTACGGCTTTTGGCTTGGGAGAAATATTTTTCTGAATCCATTTCACCTTGATGGATTATGATGCCATTTTAAATGTCAATTGATAATAACTGTGCCATAAAAAAATCATAAATGTTATCTGTTTAAGCCTACAGTGTCCCTTTTATTAATATTTCTAATTTATGAGCATTTTGAGCAATCTACAGAGACCATAGGGCTAGTAAATCTAAGGTGAAAGGGACTCCAGAAGCAGGGTGTGTGAGCTTTACACTAGATCACTGCCAGCTGTTGAGCTTTGAGGAGATCAGAGCAGCTCAGATGTCACTGGGGAGATTGGTAGAGTCCAGTAAGGCATAAAGGATGGAAGACAACCTGCAAGGACATGAGGCTCCAGAGGTGATGTGGGCAATTTGCAGCTGCAGGTGCACTGGTGTGTCTCTGGCTGCCTGAGCTCGCTGACTTGCTCTGAACAGCTGACTGAGCACAGGCCCTGGGAGATGAGCCGCTGTGAACTGCAGCATCCATGCTGTGCATAAACACTGGACAGCTCTGACTCTGAGTCACATTTGGGAACAGAGTTTAAAGGAGATGCTTCAGAGGCATTGGGAGGAATATCATCCCATTACTGCCTTTATCCAGTGGAAGAGACCAGTAGGCCAAGGATGGTCCTGTTTTGTGACTGACAGGGTAAACACAATTCTTCTTCCTCCTTGAGATAGCCAGTATAGGACAAAAAATTCCAAAGTATTGATCCCAAGTTGATTTTAAATCTATGCATCCAGAATTTTTCACTTTCTGCAATTTCTTAATTTATAAACCTCAGGGGCTGTGTGGACCTCTAGATTTGCCTGGCACTGAGAGGATGAGTTGAGAAAATCAACACGTCACAATTTTGTTCTAGACAGCCACCTTCTGCTGTAAAGGGTTGCCTTCAGAACTCATCAACCCCAGAGGAAGATGTGTTTCCTGCCTCAAAGAATTTATAGACTAAATTAGATGGGTAGCACAATAATTGTAACAAATGAGAGTCATCTGCATTTCCAGGTCAAGCAGAAATATAAATATAGCCCCAAAATACCCAGCAAAAGCCAGCACATTAGAACTTGGCAGAAAAAAAAAAAAAAAATCACCTCTTCATTCTCCGGTAATTTAAAAGTAAATAATTTCTTGTTTTGAACTTAAATAATTTGTTACATTTCAGCAACTCAATCGTTTAAGAAAGGGGGTCAACTGAACTATTTTAATTTGAAAAATGTTCATTTGCATTTCAAGGCTCTATCTTTTGCCACTTATCTTTATTTTAACATAATACAAAGCAAGGAAATTCTGGGCGAGCAGTCATTCCAAAGACAGTATTTAATTTTTTTTAAATTAATGAAATTGTATTTATCACTATTTTTCCACTTCTGTATTAAAAATAGTAAAATGTTCAAGTCTTTTGGTACTACTTAAACATTTTGATATCAAACCTGCCTTTTCTTTATGAGGAAACTTTTGTACACAAAACATGGGATTTATGCATCATTACGCTGCTGCTTTCTAATCCTTTCTCAAGAGCTGTCACTTATTTATCCTATTTCTTACTTTAGTGCTTGTTTTGTTTTCAAATATAGAAGAACAAAAATATATTTCTCAGTTGGCATTGCCTTCAGTTTTAATAAAAAAGTACAATACAATCAGACAGAACAAAAATAAAGCCTTCACAAGGACACTTTCAAGTTGTAAATTTGTATGTGAGCATCTAATTTAAGCACACACAGAAAATCAACTTGTCACTGCAAGCAGCAGGGAGGTTTAAAGTTGCAGACTGAGACAGACCAGTCATACAAACATGCACAATTTGGTTTTATGACATGGGACTACAGAACATCTCAGCAGGTGCCTGCACAGAGCAAGCTGGTGGCAGTGGAGACAGGCAGTGCAGGCACTCTGAGTATGGGGTAATGCTGAATTCACTCATGACCATAGAATTAAAGCATTTATTATGTTCTGAGATGGAAACTTGGAGTCTGCCTGACTCAACTCCCTTTACTTCAGAAATTTTTTAACATGAATGCACATGTATTTCTGCCAGAAGGCTACATTTCTCCCTTTCAAAATTGTGTGTGTTTAACACAGCAAAAATGGAGCTGGGACAAGGAAGAGAGATAGGAGGTATATTTTTTGCCCTGAGAGTCTCTAGGCTAATTTGCTCAGCTATTTTACCCAAAGATATGCATTCTCTCATGAGGAGTACTGGGATCTATCAGACTTTCCTGTGAAATCCTCCTCTTCCTCCTCTTCCTGCCCCTGTAGCAAGATATGACCTCCTTGAACACCTAGGTTTTAATAATAAAAGCTACCAAAGCTAAAATTTTCCATTGCAAAGGAAAATGTAGCCATGCTTCATTAAATAATTGAAGCAGACAAATCCATAGACTTCACTCCTGCACTTATATGGATCCTTTGGAAAAATGGACAGCAGGGGAGGCTTAAAAAACAGATGTCCCTAGATCTGATTTTCCTCTGCCTGAAACTTACAGGTAAAGGTAGCACAGTAAACATCAGAGAGTTATATAAGGTAATATATACTAAATTAATTCAGTGAAGGCTGGATCAAGGACTCTCAACTTGAGGCATCTGGGAAGTAAAATTTGAAGCCATTGCTGTATAGGAAGTCAGAAAGCAAGAAAAGTGCCTCCCTTTTTAGGTGCCTCAGGCAAACAGAGTAGGGAAAATAGGGTGTCTGTAAAAGAATGTACTAGGTTTCTCCTTGGGCTTTTTCATAGGTTTTGAATCAGGAATCATGAGAATATGGAAACCCTGTTATTAAATAGGCAGTTTTAATCCAGGATATGGATTTGGGACAGCTTTCTTTCTCTCTGCATACAAACAGCATGCTCATCTGCTCTCAGCCCATAAATTACCCACTCTCTCATTCTGCCTAAGCAAAGAAGGGGAATACATCCATCTTGTGTGCCCAGTCGGGATTACAGACTCTGGCAGCAAATCTGGAGAGGACAAAGCTTGGATAGAGGGACATTCTTCCAGTGCAGGAATTGAAAGGGAAGATGTTCCCTGCTTACTGGAGAGGGCCACAAGAACTTTTGAACCCACACAACAGCTGCCACCTCATCACAAAACCAGGAAGGCACAAGACCCTCCTTTATAGAAATGGCATAGGGATGCGAAGGGAACAAAGGAAAACCCTTCCCACTCTACACCACGTGTGTTGTCAAACATGCTCACTGGTCTACCCTGTCGCCTGGGGAGAAGTGTGATTCATAAAATCAGATAATTAAATATTCTTCATCACAACTGGCTGCATCATTTTGAACTTCTTCCATTGTTCTTTTTCTCATCAGCCCCCACGGTTTTTCCAGTATCTAGAATCTGGAAAAAGCCGAAAGCCTTTCATCTTATCAGGTGTGGTTTATTGCCCCCTGGTTACACAGTAATTTTGGTCTCCACTCCATGAAAAGGTCATATGATGGGATATCAGCTCAAGAATTGTCAGTTCGCTGGACAAATAAGGCAGGGACTGCCAATACAATTATAAGAGCCTGATAAGGAAGGTGCAGAGAAGAACCAGCAGGAAAGGGAGAAACGACCACAGCAATTTAAAAGGTATGGGGCAATTCCAGAAGAAGGCAAGAAATGCCCCTGGGGGGAGGGAGAGAGAAGGAACAGGAGTGTATCTAACCACATTCTTCCCAAAATAAAAATTAACAAGAAGATAGAAGTGGCTCAGGAGAGGAATCACAGGTATTCACTCTCATTAACCAGGAAATCTCCTGCTGTGCTGGATGCCTAATTGGTAGGCTTAAGCAACTGGTAGGATGATTATCAAGCTAGCCTGCCTCATAGCTCAGGATGGAAATAAAAGAATGTTTTCTCTTTACAAGTATAGGTGGGGGGTAGAAGGCACTAATTCCTATTCTTACACGTGTTGCAAGGGCCATGCTTTTTCTCTTGTGACTGATAAAATGAGATGATGTTGAAAAGCACCTGCTTGGAAAGTTCAAAGGGTTTTCACAATAGAAGAAAAGGGAATCTGAACCAAAGCTGATGGCTAGGAGGATGGCTGAAGGAAAAGCTGGGAACTGCTGGTGAGGAAGGTTTTCATACGTGACACCTCCTTGTATGTAAGAAAAGTTTACAAGTTGTTTCTCTTCCTAGTAAATGGCCCGAGGATCAAGTATTTGTTCTGCAAATTATTTTCTTAACTCCACAATGATACAAATCCAGTCAGCTTTTTACAGGTTTCAGCCTGAAAGCAGAAAAGGAGGATAACTACCCCCCAAACAGGATTTACCAACAAGAGGCAACCCTTCCCAGGGCATTCTTCTCCTGGTTCTGCAAGGAGCACACCTCCTCCTGGAATGGCCATACGATTGCTCAGAGCTCCGTAAACATCAGAGGCAGCGGGAATGCTCAGCAGTGGGTGGGGTTGGCAAAGACTTTTAGCCCCCACTTGTAACACTGCCTTCCCCGGACTCGGGGAGTGCAGGTGTTGGTCCCGGGGTGATCAGCAGCGAGGAGCAGGCGTGTGGACTGAGTTGCGGGTCGCCTTTTTCTCCTCCCAGCGCTGCGCGGGTCACCGGGCATGGGTGGGGAGAGACACGCACCATCCCAGCCGCGTGTCCCTCGGCGTGCTCCGAGACCCAGGGCGGCACCACAGCACTCGGTGTCCCACGGCCACTTGGGCAGGAATATGACGGACCCCCAGCTGTGTGCTGGACAGAGGAAGCCCAACCTGTCCTTTTCCATTGAGGAAATCTTAAAGAAACCTTCTGCCAGCACTGTCCCGAACAGTGAAACCAGCAACAAAGGTAGCTGTGCTGAGAGACTTCCCTCCCTAAAAGCAGAGTCACCGGTGGCCTTTGGTAAGTGCCAGTTTTAATGAAAATGCTCCTCGCTTTTTGATCCCGAAGGCTATCAGGTTCAGCCATCTAGAATTTTAATTCTTTAATTTTTATAGGATTTTTGGATTTCCCTTATCAGGTGCAAGTCATTCATTATAAATGCAGAAATAATATTTTAAAAATAATTTGCTTTCAACCTCGCAGTAGATTGGACTCTGGGGGTTTGTATATTATAAAGCCCCCAATGTCACTGGAGAGGTGAGTATGCAACCTGAAAAGTTATTTCAGTAGCTCTGTCCAGTGAGGAGTGCTTATTGTAAAAAATACAATACATCTTTCCTTTTATAAAACAATACTCTTGTTATCTGGTCGGGGGTGGGGGGCAGGGGGGAAGACAAATAAATGCATGCAGTAAGGACAGGTATTCAGTCTCAGGAAGCAAGCCTAAGACTGCTGCAACTTAACAAAATTTATGGAGTTTCACTTATTTCAAGAGTTGACTGTTCTCTGGAATTACAGCCAAATCTCATATCAGCACCCTTTCCAGATAAATTTGACCACTCACCCTCAAGCAGGAGAAATGATCTGTAAGAGTAATGGTAGATAAAGGAGTATTAGAAACCAATTGCTGGAATAAGAAAAGAGAAAGCATATATGTTTAATATTTTTTTTTATCATCATGGACACTAGGTTCTTTCATGAACTAAATAAAAACAGCTGGTAGAAAATTTGCATGACTTTGATCTTAGCAAACCAGTCTAAGTGCGTTAGACTTTTTGACTTCAGTTTTCACAGTTTAGTTACTCTGGCCTTGACTGAACTTTTACCCCGACAGAAATTGTCTTCTTCTTTTGTTAAACAAAGAACAATGTCCAGCATTTTCTGGATTTAGTATTTTTTCATCTTTTTCAATCTGCATTTTCCATAAAAAATAGATACATATACAACAAGCAGATCCACTTAAACAAAAAATTATCTGTAGTTTTGGCACAAAATTTTCACTCACCTCTCACTCAACTGCTTTCAATAAAGCTTAATGCTACACTTTATTTTTTGTAATATAGAGAGATACTTTCATGGATCAGGACCCCATTTCCCAGGACACTGGATGAGCCACCCATTAGTAAGGGAGAGAGTCTTTTTCCAAAAGCCTGTCAGTCCAAGAAACCATTGCCTATTCACACAGAAAGCAAACAAGACCGAATGGTGAGGGAAACTATTCACTACTGTAACATTAGTTATTGGGGTTGGACTCAAGCACTCCAACACTGACTCTTAGTCATGCTTTGCACAAGATTTGGATTTCTTTTTGCTAATCTGTGACACGGGATTACCTTGTCTCCTTACCATGCGGCAGTGAGCCCACCACTCATAGCATTGGGGCTGAATGCTGGCACTGCTGCCTTTGTGCCAGTAACTGTAGCTTTCCATGGAAACTTGTGTTTGGGAAAGAGAGATAGCATTCTGCTGTTTTTTTCCCTGAACCATAGGATAACTGGGGTTTGGGGGGACCTCTCCAGACCATCTGCTCAAAGAAAAAGCTGTTCCAAAGATAAAACAAGGTTGCTGAAGTATTTGACAAGTGTTGCTTGCCTGTTTTGCCACTGGTACTATTGGAGGACTGGAGCATTTGGAGATTTCCTTAAACTGCTGTTGCCAACTGGAACTGGACAACCAGTCCTGAAAGAAGCAGGAACTTGGTAGTTTGTAGAGGTGGACAAGGACATGACTGATGCTGCTGCTGGCGCAGTGGGGCCCATGTGCCGAAGGTTGTGAAAGGGAAGAAATGTTGCTGTGAGCTCTGGCAGTGTAGTTTTGTGAGCTGAAAGTCCTTTCCTGAGGGTCTGTGGCAATCACTTTGTGCCACTGGATCCAAAGTGATACAAATACCACCAAAAATTCAGTCAGTACTTGTTCACAACATGGGCTGCAGAACTACATTTCAACAACATGAGAATGTTCTCTGGGAACAGAGACAGGACTTTTTTATATTAAGTCATTTTCACAATCAATATGTTGAAGCCCAGTTTTACTGTGTGTCTTAGCTAAGTGCAAGCACAAGAGTCTGACAAGTCTGCATGCAGGACATGGTGGGTTCCTGGCACTGCTCTACTGCACTGCCAAGTTGCTCCACCTGAGCATACAGTCAGTTTTTCATCTTGAAAGCAATGCAGGCAGAACCACCAGGCCTCGTCCTTGGCTTTTCTTCACCATGCGCGCACTAGAGAAAGACTGTAACTGCAGCAAGTGAATATAGTGACTCTTCTCTCCCCTGCTAGAAAGCAAGGCTGGATTCATGAACTTAAAGGAATGTAGATTATTAACTAATGAAAACAGTATATACATGTGAAGATTCACTTAATTGTTACTGGAAGTGGGAAAACAGGAAAGCTGCAGAAATCATCCAAAATGTTGTACTTTGTTTTTGTAATTGATCAAGGAAGTTTAAAAAAAAATGAAAGCAAAACCTTTTCACTATTTGTTTCTTACCTAAGAATGTGGTACCTGAATTTATTACCCTTTGCTTTCTGAGCAGAACTGTGGTTTATTCAGGTAAGTTATGTTTATTTCAGAAGTGCAATACCCTGTGCTGTACATCTTGGGATAATTGTTGTATTCCATCTAAGTTGTTGAGCTTTATGCCATACAACACTGTCATTAAAAAAATTGTGTAAATAATCAGCCATATCTAGTGTGGTTCAGTGCTGGCCAAGGTCAGGGAACTGAAATGAGCTAGGGAACTTGCTGGAAATTCCAGGATGGGACACAAATCCAGCTGCTCTCTCATAACAGTTCAGCAGCAGCAAAGAAGGAAGTACTACAGGTCAGGGTTAGTTATATCTTATTAAGGATTTTAAGAACATTCCCTACAATCCTACATGGTATTTATCTGAGCAAATCTATGATTCATATAAGAGACAGGAAGATCCATATGGCACCACATAGGCTACTCTAAGGTAAATACTGAGGCCAGAAATTGCCATCTGATGTGGACAGTCTCAGTACCAAGATCACACTTGTCCTGGAGTCTAAATCTAGTTATTATGAGCTGAGGAGATGGGTAGGACCAGGGGAGCAGAAGATGGCAGAGTATCAGAAATGGTTTGACTTGGTGGTCTAATGTTTGGACTCGATGATTTTAAAGGTCTTTTCCAACCTATGATTCTAAATGAGGGTTACAAACCAAGATTCCCAAGAAAACCCATAGGTGCTGGATCAAATGACTTCTAGAAGTTGCTTCTAACAAATTATTCTGAGTCTCTGACAAAAAGGCTGTTGTGATGTACAGTGCAAGCCTCTCACAGAATGGTGGGGCTTGATCATGTATGGGTAGATCTCTGGGCCTGACTCATAAGTTCATATGTTTTTGTGAGTGTAATTCCAGTGGGCTTTGGAATAAGGAGTGTGCTGTGTTCTCTGAAGCATTTGGCTTTCTGGTTACAGTGTTAGTCATAGGGGAGTTCACTGCACAAGCACAACAGCTAGAGGACCTGGAGCTGCAGTTGTTGAAGCCTCTTGAAATCATTGAAAGACTCTTACCTAATTAAAAAACAAATTATGGACAAGAAGACATTTTAGTAGGCAGTCTGTGCTTTTCCTCTCAACCTTTTGTCACAATGCTTAGAAAGGATAACCATGGCCTTTGCAAGGAAGACAATTAAACACCCAGTGAGTGCTGATCTCCTCCCTTGTGCCAACTCTTTCATTTAAAACACAGAAGAATGTCAGGCCTATTTCAGAAAAAAAATTGTTCTGGAATTCCTGGGAACCTGATTTTAATGTACCTGAAATCACATCTGAAGTGATTGTTCATTACTCCCCTGGTTTCTGCCAGTGAGGTTTTACCAACAAGAGATCCTTTATCAAGTCAGGGAAAGCTTGGGATGAAAGTTTTACACCTGGGAAATTAATAGTGAAAGCAGCAACAGATGTGGTAATTTCGTCATTCTGCCAGTGTTATGCTCCATCATGTTAAGGATATGCAAATTAATAGGAATACAACCACTGCTTCACACACAAATGTCAATATGGTGATCATTCACCTTTAGCAACACTCCACCTATCTTTATCACTAAAGAGGAAACAAACTGAAGGAATCTAACTGAACAGATGCCATCTGGCCAATATGACCAAGTCACCCCACCTATTGCAAGGAAAACCAATAAGCCTGGAAAGGGAAAAAAAAAAAAAATTAGGAAAGAAAGAAAAATATGTAGAAGAAATAGAAAAAAAAAAAACACTATACAAATATGCTTCCATTTCTCAGTGACAGACTCTTCCCTGTTCACAGCCTTAGTAAGACCCTAAAATCATAAACCTTGTGCCTCCTAAGGTCTGTCTCTCTCCAGTGATTACACAACAAGGCTTAAATCGAGCTTAGGTCATCTGAAATAACCTTCTGCTTTCAAAGTGAAACTCTACTATCTTGTCTGAAATTGTCCACCCTTTCCTATGCAACTGAAAGTCAAGACAAAAAGACCATTTTGAGCCACAAGTCAAACTAATTTCTGGGCATGACAGTAATGACAGTAACAAATATCTCATGTTGTGCTAGGCTGAAATGTCATTGACTTCTCTGGGAAAAAAAAAAAAAAAAAAAAAAAAAAAAAAAAAAAAGAAAGAAAACTACATACCCTGGAGGAAGTTCTGTCCCATGCCAGTTCATAGCTGTTTTTCAGATCTCCCTGCTGGAGTCACATGAATGTGTACCAAAAAAAATTCAAGTTGGCCTAAGGAGCAACCACTTCAGGCAGGCTTTTTTCTTGGTCAGAACAGCAAACACCAGAGACGTTGCAATGCAAACAGGACTGGGACTCCTAACTCTCAGCTATATGCTGTAAACTCAGTATTGTCTACCTTCAATCTTATTCTCCAGAAAATTCTCCTTGATTAATTCAAAGGTTCATACTTAGAGGTTCATACTCGTTTGATCTCAAACAGATCCTCCCACTCCTTTTCACCAGTTCACAGAGACCTTGGCATTTTCCACTCTGCCTGGGACTGTCTTCCGTTTCCTCCCTGTTCCTTCTGCTTCAGTCTGTAATTGCTCTATCCGTGCTTATACATAACTTGTACTCATCACTGGGCTATGTAAGCATCTCAGGAAAAATACTGGGGAGGAAAGTTGTATATAAAGAATAAAGACATGAAAAGTCTTCTATAATTTAGGAAATGCTAATGTCATTCTTAGAAAGCTTTAATCACTCCCCATAAGAGCACCTTGCTTAGGTACTCTTACATATTTCATTACTGTAGGATATAAGCATCATTACTTTTGTAACATGAATTTTCACAGCATCACATCTAGCAAAGGAGTGCAACTAGTCCTTAATTTAGGGATGGGAGACTATGGTAAAAATCCTGGGCTAAGAACCTATGCCAACACCAATATCCACTGATCATCTGTTATTTAACCCCTGCCTCATGCTAGTCTATCCTTCTCCTTTATCCCACAAATATTATTCAAATCCTCACCTGTCTTCTCACCAGAAAACTCAAAGTTAGTTAATACTAAAGGAATAAAATGAGTGCTATTTTGCACAATGTGTCTCAAAGGCAGAGGTGGGCCAGGTTTTTAAGGTCCACATGACTGTATACATGTAATTGTGTTTAGAAGGTTACTCAGAGATTGGTTATATTTTAAATAGATAACATTTGAACAGTTATTCCTTATTGAAATTAAGCTTTGGCTATTTTTTCAAGCTCTTACCACTTCTTTTTCTTCATGTAAGTGTCAACCCTCTATAAAACTCTATTGTGTGAACTCTTAGGGAGGGCAGAATCAGAACTGGGTACTTTGTCTCTAGATGTTATAATTATCATTGCTCCAAAGCTGCTTTCAAATAGAACTTGTTTGTTTGAGAAAATAAATCTCTAACAAGTCCAAAAAGTTAGATGTTTTGCCAATGTCAGACATGACAACATATATATATATATATATGTAAAATGTACATTAAAAAGTGGAGTCTCTTTGAGTACAGCCTGTAGTAGTTCACACCTGCTACCGTTTAGATATGAGAAGGGAGAGGGGACCACCCGCAGGTGCAGCAAACTTCAGAGCCCAGATGTGGGAGACTGCTCAGGAGTGCAGTCCATTGCTACATTAGGATTTTAATGTTCTTTGGCAATCATAGCAGACAAACCTGTGCTGTCATATTTGCTCCCAGGCCATGACAACCTATGGGTACCTCATGTTTATGTCTTGCCTTTTACTCTAGCTTTCCAAGCAAAGAAATCCAGGTGGGTCAGAGAACTAGAGCAAATTTTAGATTTGCCATTAAAGCAGCACAGACACAGATGTCTTGTCTCTGAAGAGTCAACTGAGCCATGATTGCAACTACCAAAGGCAGCACATCAAACATTCAGCATCAGGGTAACGGCAAGGCTGTAATACAGAAAAGGGAGGTGGAGAGTGGGGTGTTTGGTGTAACTCTCTTGGGATGCTGACAGCCACAGACAGCCCACTGCCATAAACTTCGAGGCTTCCCAGCATGTTACATTTCAGTGCATGGCTTTGCAAGGTCTGCTTACATTCATAAGGAGGTGTAAAAACTCATACTACATTCATGAGGGCAGAAAAGTCATCAGGAACATCTTTGAAGTGCCCCTACTACACAACTGAAGTAATGGTGTTAGTAATAAAGCGACACTGTGGCTGAAGGACAGTTGTGGCTTCTGAGGCCAATTTCCTCAGCACTTGGGGTCAGGTGTCCTAGCACATGACATGACTGGTTGCTGATGAGGTTACTGTAGAGATTGTTTATAATGTCCATGCTCAAATCTAAGTTAATATTACATCTGTACCTCATGAAAATAGGCCAACACAATTTTGTCCTGTCAACAAGAGTGTGCAGGTGATTTCACAAAGATGAGTTGGCTGTCAGTACCTTTCTAGATATTACCAGCATCACTTGTCACAAGGCAGAGAGGAAATGTTGACAGCATGGGCAAAGGCTGCCTTTAGAATTTTCCAATTCCTAAATCAGAGAAGCAGGCAGCCCAGATGGAGAAACAAGGACACAGGGACCTGAATTGGGAAAGACACTGACTTTTAGCCTATTCATTGGCCCATTTTCCTATAAGGTAGATATACCTACAGGGACATTTTAAGAAGAGACCAGACTTTTAAAAGCATTTGGCATACAGCAAATTCCATGACAATCTTGCTGACAGATTTTCAGAGCAGCTCAATATCCGATTTGCTTCCAAGTTCTTCCAAAAAGGCAGCCACTAATTTGGATACTGATAGGGAAGCTGAGATTTCTCTATCTTTTGGTTATGTCTCCCTATTTTTTACAGTCCTTCTTTTGAAAATCTCTTTATAAGGACCATTGAAGGTTTTAAGGTGGAAGGAAGCAGAAAACAGGTAAGATTTGGGGGTCAAATTCACTGAGATCCTGTGTCTGCAACATGGGGTAGTCTTGGCATTGAAGTACAGCACAGAAGGATTAGGGCCATTTGAAATATGATCAGGTTTGAATAGTACAATATGCAGACCACTTTTTTCATACATACTAAAAGGTGCATTGAATGTGGCTGCTTTATTCAAAGCTGTCTTGTGCTGTGTCCTTCACAGATTCCAGCAGCCAGAGTCAGTCTGACTGTCACTTACCTTCAACCAAAATGCTTCTTCCTATTACATGTGCTACACCCATGGCCAAAGCAAGGAGGGTGCAGGTAACTCACTGCGAAAGACCTACTGCCAACCCAGTGTCCTTCCTGGGTGAGGACACGGGACGTGAACGTCTGGAAGGCAAAAGAAAACACGAGGAAGATCAGCTATGTGGTTTCCCAGTGGACCATCCACTTCATGGTGAGTGCCTCTATATCCAGACTTTCCCCTTCAATGCCCCAAAACACAGCTGTTATCTCAGAATTATGTACTAAGCAACAGACAGCACAAGTGTTTCCATTGGCTAAGTCACAGGAGATGGTCATAGCTCCTGGATGAGTCACAGAGACAGTTCTTCATTCTTGCCATCAGAGACTGAAGAGCCACTATTTGAGCCAGAATTCCAGCTCAGTCCTACTAACTCTACCAATGTTAGTGGTAGTGACTTCTTGGGGTGTTTATTGCCCTCCTACTTGGGGTGTGAGGAGTTACCTCATTCTGAGCCTTACTGCCAGGGTTGTGCAATGCCCATTTCCTGGAAAATGTGAATTGCACAACATGGGGAGAGAGGCTGGTGGATAAGCTGAGTCAGCTCAATGTGTTCTGTACACCTTGGACCCACTGTACAGGTGATGAAGAGGTCATCAGCATGCACACAGGCAAACCGGCGACAGGCGATCTGGCAGGATGTGTCAGGCACAGTTTTCAATGCTGGCCACGTTGGTGAATCTGCTAATTTAATTAGTTGTGAGCATTGGTAAATAGTGGTCTATCTCTTAGCCAAAGCACTGGACAATACAAATATCCTTTTCCGATATGTTGCACAGAGACTTTAGGCTAAGCAGGATAGGTGGTACCTGAACAAGAAAAGTTCCTAACAGACAGCAATTAATTAGCAGCATGTGACAAAAATTTCTCTAAGTCCTTTGTTTTTGGGGAAACGTAAATACAGACATTCATACTACATTCCAGAAAACAGGTTTTCAGAAGCAGCAGAAAGGTGTTTTTTCATAGTTTGTTATTACTTACTCCAGGGAAAAGAAGGCATTTCATTTAAGTCCATTGAAGATGGCAGATGTGGGGTTACTCAGCTGGCTTTCCTGAGATTCACACATCATCCTTGCTCCATACTCTGCAAGCTGGCAAGAGAAACAGCACTTTCTGTGAAATACATTTGAAAGAAAATCCTTGTCTCTGCCACTGCTGCCAAGGTATACATGAGTCTTGTGACAAGCTGCTGTCACCTCCTCCTCCTGCACGAGACAGCCATCAGTCTTGATGCAGGAAGACGTCTTGTAAGATAACTGGAAATTTTAGCTTTCCTCTGCCCTGTAAGCTGCGCACAGCTCGTGACAACAGGGCTAAAGCACGTGGCCTCCTCATAGAAGAGCCAGGGCTGTATGCATCTGGCTCTCAGAGTTGCCTCTGAATATAAAAGAATATTCACATATTCTCTATATGAGGGAGTCTCCAGCCAGGAGGATCACACCATAGCTGGGAGGTGGTGGCACTTAGCCTCATTGACCAACACCATGGTGGGTACCAACCTCATCAGTAGAGCAGGGGAGGAAGCGTGCAATTATCTGCACAGAATGGAACCAACATGAGCAGCCCCCTTCAATGGCAGAGTGTCTTTTAAAGGCATTTTAAACAAAATCCCTCTGTTCCCTGGTCACAGTGAGGTTTTGAAGCCAAGCAGAGGTTTAATGATCTGCCATTTTCTAGGCTACGGGTTCCTGCAGTTGCTGAGCCTTTGATATAAACTGGCTGGAGGAGGAGGGAGAATCCTAAAGCACTGGATTGACATTTTCCCTGCAGTGTGCAAACAATGATGTTTCGGATCCCATTCATACATGGTGTCATTCCTAGCAGAGAGCTGGAGGCCTAGGTTGTGTGTCACAAGTTTCAGCCTCTTTTTTCCACTTTACATTACAGGGGAAGAGCTGCTGGCTATTTTTCTCCTGGCTGTGGCAGGTATCAGCTTTCTAAGACAAAGTCAGCAACAACAGCTGCAGGAAGGGTAGACTGCATCATCCCTGGAAGCAGTCTGTAGTCCTGCTGATAGCAAATTAACTTCTGTTCATGCACCTGTGAACTGTGGGGGGCTTCAGACATACTTTTGACGTGGCAGCTACAGGTCAGTTACAGGTCCTCTGAGAAGGCACCTTGGCAGTCCCTAATGCCCATAGCGTATCCATGGAGGTGTCCCCAGGATCTCTCTCACACCCACATCAACGATGCCGGATAACACTCAGAGGAACAGCACCAGCCTCAGCAACAGGGGACCTTTCTGATGTGAAAAGACATCAGAAACCCTTAGCGGGGCATTCCCTCACCTCTCTTAGCATACATCTATTAATGTAAAACACCTTCATGGTTTGTGAGGAAGGGCCTTGGGCTCTATCTAAACACACATATCCTGTTCAGTTGTCAGGGAATAGAAGAAATCAGGTGTTCTATACAATCACCTTGGAGGCTGTAGAGCTAGGCTTTGGTGCTATTTTGTATGAGAGGAGAAAGGTGAGGAGGAGGTTTTGACAGCAGCTTCCTTCATGGGCATGTGGTCTGAGATAACAAGAGCACCCCGACTGTGACCCTGAGTGTGGGATTTGGAGCATATTTCCAGGAAACTCTGTAAAAATTCCCTAAAATTTTTCTTTTCCCACAAAATGGCTTCTGCCACTAAGCGGTTTAGATATGCAGTGTCATTTAAGCTAAATAGATTTACACCCTTATCACGAACCACTTGCTGGAAGTAATGCCTCTTGCACTTTGAACTTGGAGGCTGCATTGTAAGCAAAAAAAGAAAAAGCCTCATATGCTAGATACATGCTGACATTGGCATTTAGTTTTGCTAAACCCGTCTTTGAATTTGAGTTCCTTCATTCTGAATGCTGTATGCCTTCACCTGTGGCCTTCTGCATGGAAAGCTCAGCAGAGCCTTTTCAGAAAACTTAGATTCTTGGAAAGCAGCATTGATAAAACCCATTTTAGAAGGAGAAGCAGCTTTGATAAAATCTGTTTTAGAGGGAGATCATTCTAAGGAAAGTCTTACTTTGAAGCTGCAGGTACAGGCTCTGTTTGGGCCAGCCTCTGTGAGATGAGTCATTGCAGCCCATTTGCCACGTACAACCACCATTGCTGCCAAGGTATTCAAAACATCAGAGCAAGCAGGGCAAACTCTTGTGGTTGTTGGTCAGCCTCTCAGCACCTGTCTATGTAAACACCCAAATCCTGAGCTCCCACTTTCCTTTTAATTACGTCTCTCTGCTCTAAGCTCCCTGGGACTTGGCTTGCCAGTTCAGAAGAGTAGAGCACTGGAGCCTGAGAGGATAACACACTCCCATGCCTGTCTGACCTGCCTGCCTGCAGCAGCTCCTGTGGAGATTTCTAAGTACAGATCCCAGCCTCATTTGGATCCTCCTGGGCAATAATTTTGCAATGAGTCTTTTACACATGCTGGGTCTGATTGTATGCATTGGGCAGGTGTGCACTGTAACTACATCCAAAGGCAGTGCCTGAGTGTGCCCTGCATTGCACACAGATAATGGTTCCAGTCTTCTGCTCAAGCAAAGGACCAGTCGGTGCCTTGGAGAAGCCAGGTAGCAGCATCACCTTCAGACACCTTCAGGTGGATGTCTGGTCCTTTAGGATTTCTGGGCAATAATTCAAGGACAGCATAGATCATGCTTCAATAAACAGAGCTGGCTCCTAATTCCACCAGAAACTGTGGGGTTCACGCTGTGAACTGCACATGATTCAGAGGTTCATGTTATTTCCTGCAGTTCATGTCTTCATTATTTGCTGTAGAGGAGGCTCTGCCCTAATGAGTCAACATCACCCAAATATTTCCGTAGCAGAAATCCTCTGCACGTTGCTGACTGGGAGTTCAGAGATCTTTTTATTAATCTAATTGTTTTATTGTTATGATAGCATCTGTGATCCCAAAGCATATTGATGTATTCTGGTGGCAATTTTCATAAAGACAACAGAAGGTATAGAGATAACCCCAGTTCTGGAGGAAGCTCTTTATAAATCATGTCCCCTCTATACTGATGCCAGTTGCAGACATCCTTGGCTCAATGTTTATGTTTTCTCTAAAGTCATAAATTCACTTGTACTGTTCATTTGTGGACAATATGGTCAAATCTGTGTACCCCTGTGAAACCGCATGGTTTATCTCTCACAGAACAGTTTTTTCCCCAATACGCTGACTTACCTTAATGCATTTCTAAATCACCCAAGAGATAGTGAAGCACTGCGCAATCACAATCCCAGAGAAATATCAGCTACCCAGACTACACCAATGGGACTGTGAGAAAGGGCACAAGCATCCCATTGTCCTGCAGAACAAAAGAAAACAATTTTAAATTAAAAGGAAAACCAGGAGAAAAAAAAAAGAGAAATGCCCATATATATAATTTGGCTGCCATTAGTTGTCTTACCAGCCTTTTGTTTATCTGTGTGAATAGTCCCTGCAGCCCTCTGTGTCTAAAGTGCAGTGTTCCTCTATATACATTTGGAAATGCCCCAGACCATTGACCTTGTTTTGGTGGGTTTACTTGAGGTACTGTTGAAGGCTGATTCTTTTTTTCTCCCTCTTTGAAGACTGACTTTTTGTTTATAATGACACCCTGGATAGTAAATGAAATCTTGAATCCTTTAGTCTCACCCTTCAAACTCCGTTGACATAGAAGTCTCACTGGTACAAGTAAGCACTGCATAAAGCAAAGCTATCAGCAGCTGGGGACTATCATAAATTCCTTTTGTCTTTTTTCTTCATAGGTTTTGGGTTTTGAGTTTTGTTTATTTAAAGCAAATGTTAACATTCAATGGTTTCCTTAAACAGCCCCTTCTTTCCAGGGAATTCTGGATCCAAATGGTACCTTACACAGGACCCAGAGGTTAATTTGTTTCTTCTAGTCGAATCTGTATGGTGTGACCATTTGTAAAACTGATGGCACATCATGATTAGTTTATTCCAAAGGTCTTACTGAGAATTTATTGGCCTCTCCAAAATTGTCCTAGAACTTTTTATTAAAGCCCTGGGATATGATACTGTTTATTACTGTTTGTTGAAATTGAGGGCAGGTCTTTTACCTGCTTTTTAGCAAGCCCTTTATGCTTAAAGGGGAAATAGCAGAGGCAGGGATGTAAATAAACATTCCTGATTAATGTCTAGATGTTTGCAGGTACAAATA